AGGACACCTAGGGGAGAACCCATGGCGACCCCATCTACTTGCTTATACATGTGCCCATCCGGGCTCAAGAAGGGTGCCTCTTTAGTACAAGCTTGGAGTAGTTTCCTTAGAATATTTTCTGGTATGTCAAGAGGAGTACAGGCCGGATCACGATACACTCTGTCGGCTATCATCCCGATTGTCTCGTCCACAGGTACGTTGGTAAACAGTGATTCTACGTCCAACGAGGCTCTTATCCCTGTGGCCCGTGTGCCCCGCAGTAAGTCAACAAATTCCTTTGGAGACGTCAGGCTGAAGGCGCAAGGGACATAAGGAGTCAGCAGGCCATTGAGTCGCTTCGCCAGTCTGTACGTGGGTGTGGGTATCTGGCTAATGATTGGCCGAAGTAGGCCAAGAATCGAGGCAATTACAGAAGCACCATACTGTCCCCCGAGCTCAAAGCGGCAGCTAAAAGCCTTCGTGAGAACAAGGAGATAGTTGTCAGGAGAGGTGACAAGTCGCCAATATACGTCATTCTTAAAAAAGACGAATATCTGGCGAAAATGAACCTCATACTCTCTGACCAAACTAAATTCCAAAGGGTAACGAAGGACACTACAGCCGAATTGAAAGCAAAGGTCAACAAACTGATCGAAACTGTGAACGCCAAGAAATCTGGACTCCACCTGCCAAAGATTATTGGGGAATATAAACCTGGATATGCGTATGGAAATGTCAAGACACACAAGCCTGGAAACCCACTTCGGCCAATCATTAGCCAGATACCCACACCCACGTACAGACTGGCGAAGCGACTCAACGGCCTGCTGACTCCTTATGTCCCTTGCGCCTTCAGCCTGAAGTCTCCAAAGGAATTTGTTGACTTACTGCGGGGCACACGGGCCACAGGGATAAGAGCCTCGTTGGACGTAGAATCACTGTTTACCAACGTACCTGTGGACGAGACAATCGGGATGATAGCCGACAGAGTGTATCGTGACATACCAGAAAATATTCCAAGGAAACTACTCCAAGCTTGTACTAAAGAGGCACCCTTCTTGAGCCCGGATGGGCACATGTATAAGCAAGTAGATGGGGTCGCCATGGGTTCTCCCCTAGGTGTCCTGTTTGTGAACTTCTACATGGGTACCATCGAACAAAAGGTCTTAGTCGACATGAACTTGAAACCTGCCATATACTGCAGGTATGTTGACGACATTTTTACACAGGTACCTGAAGTTAGACATCTGCAGGAGCTGAAGGAGGCATTTAAGCAGAATTCTGTCTTGCGTTTCACTTACGAGATGGAGAAGGATGGGAAGCTGCCCTTTCTAGATGTAACAGTCATGGAAAAGAGTGGAGGTTTCCACACTGCAGTCTACACTAAGGAAACAAACATAGGAATGTGCCTCAATGCCAACAGTGACTGCCCAGACAGGTACAAGAGGAGTGTTGTTAATGCTTATGTCGACCGTGCTCTCAGCCACAGCTCAGAATGGAAGCAAGTCGATGAAGAACTCTGTAGGGTAAGGCAGGTCCTAGTCAACAACGGCTTCTAAAATGGTTTCGTTGAAGACAACATAAGAAGGAAGGTGAAACGCCATGCAAGCTCTGAAGAGACAACTAACACAACACCTGTACCCCCTATTAGACTATTTTACAGGAACTTCTTTTCCACAGCTCATAAAATGGAGGAAAAGGTCCTGAAAGATATTGTTAATAGGAACGTTATCCCTACAGACAAAAATCAGAAGATACAATTGACGTTTTACTATAAAACCAAAAAAACGGCCAACCTACTCATGAGAAACTCTCCAGACACAAAGCAGAACGTTTTAAAAGAGACCAATGTCGTCTATGCCTTCAAATGCCCACTTGGGGACTGTAAGCCTCAAAGAACTCAGCATATAGGCAAGACAACAACATCTCTTTCCAGGTGATTAACGATGCATAAGCAACAGGGCTCCATTAAGGAACATATAATCTCTTCCCACAACCAGACCATCACCAGAGAAGTCTTAACAAAAAACACAGAAATCATCGATATATACAGCGATAGCAGGCGGCTTGATATCTGCGAGGCACTACACATTAAGAATTCAACACCAGCAATCAACAGCCAATTAATGCACAACTATATTCTACCCACTTCAAGACTCCGCACCAATATAAAAGCATCAAGAAATATGGGCCAATAGACCCTCTGTAGTTACTTCCATTCTTACCTTTAACTTACCCAATATTATACCCATTGTTTCGTGTTCTGTCTTGTGTTGAAAGTATGTTTTCACCTCATTCAAAACTGTTGTAACATATCACCTCACCCAAATGCAGGTATATAAAATAAAAGCCATTTAAAAATTATAGCATGGTAGAACTCTGTTTAGTGTTTGCAGGTTATAGCTGTGTGTGTGTAAACTAAAGTCTTTGAAAATGTAATAAGTTATTACGAAACGTGTTCAAGTGTCGCGTCAGACTAGAAATAAAAATGAATTTTGGAGAATTGATTTTTCAATTACCATCGGCAGTGAAAAGAAACATAAGAATTATTGAGAAAATTCGTGTTAGAATTATTAATCTTACTTTTTCGGTCATATTTAATAATATATGTTTACAAGAAAGACTGCTACCAAAATATAATAATAATAATAATATATATATATATAATAATAATATATAATAATAATAATAATAATATATAATAATAATAATATATATAATATATATATATATATATATATATATATATATATATATATATATATATATATATATATATATATATATATATATATATATATATATATATATATATATATATATATATATATATATATATATATATATATATATATATATATATATATATATATATATATATATATATATATATATATATATATATATATATATATATATATATATATATATATATATATATATATATATATATATATATATATATATATATATATATATATATATATATATATATATATATATATATATATATATATATATATATATATATATATATATATATATATATATATATAACTCAACCAGGATTCGATCATGCATTACTAGGGTTTTAGCCACTGGCATACACAATACTGATACCACTCCACCAGTGACAGGTGTCAGTACTGTCAGTGCCAGGTGGATCAATGTAGGTTCGAATCTGCTTGATCTGCTTGATGAGGTTCTGGGAGTTCTTCTACTCCCCAATCCTTGTCAGGACTTAAGAGTTATTTACTGGCATTCGGGTCATTTAAATATATCATTGTAATTTAATTAACCATTTTCAGTGAAACTAAAACTAGTCGCATCTTTCATCATCTCTCGTAAATGTTCGTAAATGCTGTTAGCAAAGGTGAGGGGCAGCCATTAGGCAGAGGGCAGCCATTAGGGTGAGGGGCAGCCATTAGGGTGAGGGGCAGTCATTAAGGTGATGGCAACAATTAGGGTGAAAGAAAATACTAGCATGAGGCCAATCATCAGGATGATGAATGCCACCAAGGTGTGGGCACCCACCAGGTGACAGTAACAATCAGGGTGACGAAAGCCACTAGGGTGAGGGCAGATACCACTGTGATGACAAGTATTAGGGCAAGGGGCAGCCGCCAAGGTGATGACAAGTATTAGGGTGAGGGGCAGCCGGCAAGGTGATGACAAGTATTAGGGTGAGGGGCAGCCGCCAAGGTGATGACAAGTATTAGGGTGAGGGGCAGCCGCCAAGGTGATGACAAGTATTAGGGTGAGGGGCAGCCGACAAGGTGATGACAAGTATTAGGGTTAGGGGCAGCCGGCAAGGTGATGACAAGTATTAGGGTGAGGGGCAGCCGCCAAGGTGATGACAAGTATTAGGGTTAGGGGCAGCCGCCAAGGTGATGGCAAGTATTAGGGTGAGGGGCAGCCGCCAAGGTGATGGCAAGTATTAGGGTGAGGGGCAGCCACCAAGGTGATGGCAAGTATTAGGGTGAGGGGCTGCCACCAAGGTGATGACAAGTATTAGGGTGAGGGACAACCGCCAAGGTGATGGCAAGTATTGGGGTGAGGGGCAGCCGCCAAGGTGATGGCAAGTATTAGGGTGAGGGGCAGCCACCAAGGTGATAGCAACAACCTACGAAAGATCAGCCACCAGTGTGATAACCGCCAACAGGGTGATAACCGCCAAAAGGGTAATGATGATAAACACTTACATAATTTCATCCACCCTGGCGATGATAGCCACCAGGGTGATGATAGCCACCAGGGTGATGATAGCTAACAAGGTGATGATAATCACCAGGGTGTTGGCAGCTACACGGATGATGGCAACCACCATAGTGAAGGCAGCCACCAGGATGATGAGGGCCACCAGGGTGAAGGCAGCCACCAGGATGATGAGGGCCACCAGGGTGAAGGCAGCCACCAGGATGATGAGGGCCACCAGGGTGAAGGCAACCACCAGGATGATGAGGGCCACCAGGGTGAAGGCAGCCACCAGGATGATGAGGGCCACCAGGGTGAAGGCAGCCACCAGGATGATGAGGGCCACCAGGGTGAAGGCAACCACCAGGATGATGAGGGCCACCAGGGTGAAGGCAGCTACCAGGATGATGAGGGCCACCAGGGTAAAGGCAGCCACCAGGATGATGAGGGCCACCAGGGTGAAGGCAGCCGCCAGGATGATGAGGGCCACCAGGGTGAAGGCAGCCACCAGGATGATGAGGGCCACCAGGGTGAAGGCAGCCACCAAGATGATGAGGGCCACCAGGGTGAAGGCAGCCACCAGGATGATGAGGGCCACCAGGGTGAAGGCAGCCACCAGGATGATGAGGGCCACCAGGGTAAAGGCAGCCACCAGGATGATGAGGGCCACCAGGGTGAAGGCAGCCGCCAGGATGATGAGGGCCACCAGGGTGAAGGCAGCCACCAGGATGATGAGGGCCACCAGGGTGAAGGCAGCCACCAAGATGATGAGGGCCACCAGGGTGAATGCAGCCACAAGGATGATGAGGGCCACCAGGGTGAAGGCAGCCACCAGGATGATGAGGGCCACCAGGGTGAAGGCAGCCACCAGGATGATGAGGGCCACCAGGATGAGGGCAGCCACTAGTGGATAGTTGCAACTAGGGTGAGAGCAGCTGCCAACAACAGCACTGACACGTCGTAGGGTGAGTGACCTCCATGCTGCATCGCCTCAGGATATTCCCCTGAAATTAAAGAAAATATATAATTACACAGCCAGAGTATGAATATTATAACACCGCTAGAGCGGCACCCGTATACCTGCTAGAGCGGCACCCGTATACTTGCTAGAGCGGCACTCATATACCTGCTAGAGCGGCACTCATATACCTGCTAGAGCGGCACCCGTATACTTGCTAGAGCGGCACCCGTATACCTGCTTGAGCGGCACCCGTATACCTGCTAGAGCGGCACCCGTATACCTGCTAGAGCGGCACCCGTATACCTGCTAGAGCGGCACTCATATACCTGCTAGAGCGGCACCCGTATACCTGCTTGAGCGGCACCCGTATACCTGCTAGAGCGGCACCCGTATACCTGCTAGAGCGGCACCCGTATACCTGCTAGAGCGGCACTCATATACCTGCTAGAGCGGCACCCGTATACCTGCTAGAGCGGTACCCGTATACCTGCTAGAGTGGCACCCGTATACCTGCTTGAGCGGCACCCGTATACCTGCTAGAGCGGCACGCATATACCTGCTAGAGCGGCACCCGTATACCTGCTAGAGCGGCACCCGTATACCTGCTAGAGCGGCACCCGTATACCTGCTAGAGCGGTACCCGTATACCTGCTAGAGTGGCACCCGTATACCTGCTTGAGCGGCACCCGTATACCTGCTTGAGCGGCACCCATATACCTGCTAGAGCGGCACCCGTATACCTGCTAGAGCGGCACTCATATACCTGCTAGAGCGGCACTCATATACCTGCTAGAGCGGCGCTCATATACCTGCTAGAGCGGAACCCGTATACCTGCTAGAGCGGCAATCATATACCTGCTAGAGCGGCACTCATATACCTGCTAGAGCGGCACCCGTATACCTGCTAGAGCGGCACTCATATACCTGCTAGAGCGGCACCCGTATACCTGCTAGAGCGGCACTCATATACCTGCTAGAGCGGCACCGTATACCTGCTAGAGCGGCACTCATATACCTGCTAGAGCGGCACCCGTATACCTGCTAGAGCGGTACCCGTATACCTGCTAGAGTGGCACCCGTATACCTGCTTGAGCGGCACCTAGAGCGGTATACCTGCTAGAGCGGCACTCATATACCTGCTAGAGCGGCACCCGTATACCTGCTAGAGCGGCACCCGTATACCTGCTAGAGCGGCACCCGTATACCTGCGGCACTCATATACCTGCTAGAGCGGCACTCATATACCTGCTAGAGCGGCACTCATATACCTGCTAGAGCGGCACTCATATACCTGCTAGAGCGGCACCCGTATACCTGCTAGAGCGGCACCCGTATACCTGCTAGAGCGGCACTCATATACCTGCTAGAGCGGCACTCATATACCTGCTAGAGCGGCACTCATATACCTGCTAGGGCGGCACCCGTATACCTGCTAGAGCGGCACTCATATACCTGCTAGAGCGGCACTCATATACCTGCTAGAGCGGCACTCGTATACCTGCTAGAGCGGCACTCATATACCTGCTAGAGCGGCACCCGTATACCTGCTAGAGCGGCACTCATATACCTGCTAGAGCGGCACTCATATACCTGCTAGAGCGGCACCCGTATACCTGCTAGAGCGGCCTAGAGCGGCACCCGTATACCTGCTAGAGCGGCACTCATATACCTGCTAGAGCGGCACTCATATACCTGCTAGAGCGGCACCATATACCTGCTAGAGCGGCACCCATATACCTGCTAGAGCGGCACCCGTATACCTGCTAGAGCGGCACCATATACCTGCTAGAGCGGCACCCGTATACCTGCTAGAGCGGCACTCATATACCTGCTAGAGCGGCACCCGTATACCTGCTAGAGCGGCACCCGTATACCTGCTAGAGCGGCACCCGTATACCTGCTAGAGCGGCACCCGTATACCTGCTAGAGCGGCACCCGTATACCTGCTAGAGCGGCACCCGTATACCTGCTAGAGCGGCACCCGTATACCTGCTAGAGCGGCACTCATATACCTGCTAGAGCGGCACTCATATACCTGCTAGAGCGGCACCCGTATACCTGCTAGAGCGGCACCCGTATACCTGCTTGAGCGGCACCCATATACCTGCTAGAGCGGCACCCGTATACCTGCTAGAGCGGCACTCATATACCTGCTAGAGCGGCACTCATATACCTGCTAGAGCGGCACTCATATACCTGCTAGAGCGGCACTCATATACCTGCTAGAGCGGCACCCGTATACCTGCTAGAGCGGCACTCATATACCTGCTAGAGCGGCACCCGTATACCTGCTAGAGCGGCACTCATATACCTGCTAGAGCGGCACTCATATACCTGCTAGAGCGGCACCCGTATACCTGCTAGAGCGGCACTCATATACCTGCTAGAGCGGCACTCATATACCTGCTAGAGCGGCACCCGTATACCTGCTAGAGCGGCACTCATATACCTGCTAGAGCGGCACCCGTATACCTGCTAGAGCGGTACCCGTATACCTGCTAGAGTGGCACCCGTATACCTGCTTGAGCGGCACCCGTATACCTGCTAGAGCGGCACTCATATACCTGCTAGAGCGGCACCCGTATACCTGCTAGAGCGGCACCCGTATACCTGCTAGAGCGGCACCCGTATACCTGCTAGAGCGGTACCCGTATACCTGCTAGAGTGGCACCCGTATACCTGCTTGAGCGGCACCCGTATACCTGCTTGAGCGGCACCCATATACCTGCTAGAGCGGCACCCGTATACCTGCTAGAGCGGCACTCATATACCTGCTAGAGCGGCACTCATATACCTGCTAGAGCGGCGCTCATATACCTGCTAGAGCGGCACCCGTATACCTGCTAGAGCGGCAATCATATACCTGCTAGAGCGGCACTCATATACCTGCTAGAGCGGCACCCGTATACCTGCTAGAGCGGCACTCATATACCTGCTAGAGCGGCACCCGTATACCTGCTAGAGCGGCACTCATATACCTGCTAGAGCGGCACCTGTATACCTGCTAGAGCGGCACTCATATACCTGCTAGAGCGGCACCCGTATACCTGCTAGAGCGGTACCCGTATACCTGCTAGAGTGGCACCCGTATACCTGCTTGAGCGGCACCCGTATACCTGCTAGAGCGGCACTCATATACCTGCTAGAGCGGCACTCATATACCTGCTAGAGCGGCACCCGTATACCTGCTAGAGCGGCACCCGTATACCTGCTAGAGCGGCACCTGTATACTTGCTAGAGCGGCACCCGTATACCTGCAAGAGCGGCACCCGTATACCTGCTAGAGCGGCACCCGTATATCTGCTAGAGCGGCACTCATATACCTGCTAGAGCGGCACCCGTATACTTGCTAGAGAGGTACCCGTATACCTGCTAGAGTGGCACCCGTATACCTGCTTGAGCGGCACCCGTATACCTGCTTGAGCGGCACCCGTATACCTGCTAAAGCGGCACCCGTATACCTGCTAGAGCGGCACCCATATACCTGCTAAAGCGGCACTCATATACCTGCTAGAGCGGCACCCGTATACCTGCTAGAGCGGCACCCGTATACCTGCTAGAGCGGCACCCGTATACCTGCTAGAGCGGCACCCGTATACCTGCTAGAGCGGCACCCGTATACTTGCTAGAGCGGCACCCGTATACCTGCTAGAGCGGCACCCGTATACCTGCTAGAGCGGCACCCGTATACCTGCTAGAGCGGCACTCATATACCTGCTAGAGCGGCACCCGTATACCTGCTAGAGCGGTACCCGTATACCTGCTAGAGTGGCACCCGTATACCTGCTTGAGCGGCACCCGTATACCTGCTTGAGCGGCACCCGTATACCTGCTAAAGCGGCACCCGTATACCTGCTAGAGCGGCACCCATATACCTGCTAAAGCGGCACTCATATACCTGCTAGAGCGGCACCCGTATACCTGCTAGAGCGGCACTCCTATACCTGCTAGAGCGGCACTCATATACCTGCTAGAGCGGCACTCATATACCTGCTAGAGCGGCACCCGTATACCTGCTAGAGCGGCACTCATATACCTGCTAGAGCGGCACCCATATACCTGCTAGAGCGGCACTCATATACCTGCTAGAGCGGCACTCATATACCTGCTAGAGCGGCACTCATATACCTGCTAGAGTGGCACCCGTATACCTGCTAGAGCGGCACTCATATACCTGCTAGAGCGGCTCCCGTATACCTGCTAGAGCGGCACTCATATACCTGCTAGAGCGGCACCCGTATACCTGCTAGAGCGGCACTCATATACCTGCTAGAGCGGCACTCATATACCTGCTAGAGCGGCACCCGTATACCTGCTAGAGCGGCACTCATATACCTGCTAGAGCGGCACCCGTATACCTGCTAGAGCGGCACTCATATACCTGCTAGAGCGGCACTCATATACCTGCTAGAGCGGCACCCGTATACCTGCTAGAGCGGCACTCATATACCTGCTAGAGCGGCACCCGTTTACCTGCTAGAGCGGCACTCACATACCTGCTAGAGCGGCACTCATATACCTGCTAGAGCGGCACCCGTATACCTGCTAGAGCGGCACTCATATACCTGCTAGAGCGGCACCCATATACCTGCTAGAGCGGCACTCATATACCTGCTAGAGCGGCACTCGTATACCTGCTAGAGCGGCACTCATATACCTGCTAGAGCGGCACTCATATACCTGCTAGAGTGGCACTCGTATACCTGCTAGAGCGGCACCCATATACCTGCTAGAGCGGCACTCGTATACCTGCTAGAGCGGCACTCATATACCTGCTAGAGCGGCACTCATATACCTGCTAGAGTGGCACTCGTATACCTGCTAGAGTGACACTCATATACCTGCTAGAGCGGCACTTATATACCTGCTAGAGTGGCACTCATATACCTGCTAGAGCGTCACTCATATACCTGGTAGAGTGGCACCCGTATACCTCCTAGAGTGGCACCCGTATACCTGCTAGAGCGGCACTCATATACCTGCTAGAGCGGCACTCATATACCTGCTAGAGCGGCACCCGTATACCTGCTAGAGCGGCACTCA